GGCAGGGCATTCCCTTTTGTTCTCTCTCTCTTATTGGGTGTTGAGGTCTGCAAAAGAGGCTTTGAGTGGCAATCATGTTCGGACTATAGTCTACTTTCAACATGCATCTCCCATCCTGGGAGGATCCTCCCAACACCCTTTATTTGGTGCTCCCTTCCCTATATGAGCTGCCTTTTTCCCTAGCATGCCTGGCTGGCATCTAAGCCATGGAGTAATCCTCCTCTCCTGGTACTTATCTCGGATATTCTTGGGTGTTAATCTCCTATTTTGTTACTTTATAAAACACCATCTTTTGATTAAGTACCTCACCCCTGTCGACAGAACACATCAATAACATGTTTAGTAATTTTTATTCATTTACAGTTTTGTGTACTATCAGTTTTCTGGTAGGACTTTGTTAAATGCATTGTATCATTTAATTGCATTGCATCACTTTCAGAGATTCATTCAGTAGAAATAGTGAAATACATTTAGTGCCTGTGACAGAGTTGTTGTACCATTATATATAACAACACAGGTAAAAATGCAAATTTTCAGAATAGGAGTTCACTAAGTTATGGCACGGATGTCTGATATAATGGAATGCCTGAAAATGTTGCTATGTACAGAATTGTGCAGGAAAAATAAAGCAAGAAAAGCCAGATCTGTGTCTACAGCTATAATTAGAACTTTACTTATATTTCTATGTCTATATCCGTCCCTGTCCTTTCATTCTGCATATCTATCCATGTGTATTATTTGTTTATAAAAGGAAAAAAAAAAGAAAAGTCATGCTTTTTGGTGGTTAATGTGCTAAAGGATGGAGGATATATATTTTTAATTTTATAGAGCATTTTAGTAGGTTTTAAATCTGTAGTGGGATCCACTCACAAATCACACACTGGTTTGCATTACAGAAAAAAATTAGAACACATATAGAACCATAATTTCTCCTACCTCTCACTACTTCCTGTTGTTCCTTTGTAGAACCCTGCACTCTTACGCCTCCCTCATCACAGGTTTTCTGACTCTCTCTGACAGGCATTTAGGGGCAGAGGCTTCCCTAATATTTGCTTCTTGCCTTATTCAAAGCGCCCTCTATAAGGCTCACAATCTGTGTTTACCAAAAGCTTCATATTGAATTGGCTTTATAGAAGCTCACTCTAAACACCTTTGACGAGGGACTAATTTCCAGAAAAAATAAAACTGGTACAAAAAAATAGTATGAGGCAAATTTATATGGCAGAAGGGAAAATAACAAAGATAAGCAACCTGATTGAATATGCAAATGACAGTGAATTATTTATAGCTGAGTCTTACCCCAGAATTGTTGACTGCAAGTGTGTTGACTAAGAGAATTAAATGCATGGAAGTTATTTGGCTGAGGTAAACATTAGGGGCAGGACACTCAAAGCTCACAACAAGAACTTGTTGAAGAGATAAAAGAAAAAAAATTTGCCTATTGTTCTTTGGTCAAACTGGAAAGATATCAAGGACCAGGCAGAATCTTTATTTATTGGTTATTCTGGTGTCAGATGACATTGTGGGAATGTAGTGTTGTTCTTCCTGAGAAGACTCATAGAAGAATTAGGACATATGAGTCAAGGTGGGTGTATGGAGAGAGGATGGAATAGAGTGGATGCTTACTGATAGATGGTAGATAATCTATGACATTTCCCCATAATAAACAGCTCAATAAAATTTATGTGCACACATATACTTTATATTTATTATATGTATATATATACAATTATATATGTGCTACATATATTTATCACAGTCCTCATATAGGAGGTCATTATTTGAAGATAATAATCCTTGTATAGCTTCCTTTTCTGACACCTCATATTTATTGTGAGGAAAATGACTAAATCTAATAATTGGGAACCAGTATTATCCCCTTCACCCCCGTTTTTTCAGTTCAGGAAACTGAGGCAGAGAAAACTGAATCACAGGTCTTGATTAAGTAGTGAACTTAGGAAATCCGGAGCAAGAACATCTGGTTTTCCATTTTTTTGTTAGAAAAATAGTAATAAAGAAAGAAAAGTTTTCTTTGTTATCCCCAGAGTTGTGAACGGAAATTTCATTTGGATTTTATAATTGGCCTTGGATGTCTAGCCTCTGAGTGATTAATGGTACATTACTCCCATAGCCTTGGGAAATAGTTTGGTTGTCCATTACCCCAAATCTGGAAGGACCAAAGTCAATTTGTGAAATGATTGGAGATCCTTTTTTTCAAACAGTTCAGAAAGCAGCAAGTAAAAGTGAATGCTGATTGGTATTTATTTTTGCTAGAGACGAAAGCACATATTAAATCCACTCATCTATCTCTGAGGCTAGGGATTCTAAAATTTCTATCATTGCCATGAGAAGATTTAAGGGAGATCAAATTCAAAGGAAGCGCCCTTGTGTGGAGCAATTACTAATGCATTACCAAAAAGAGGAAGAATATTCCAGATTTTATTTCCAAATTCTGAAATGCTCTAAAGCAGTAGGAAACAAGCAATGCTCGGCTGGCTCTCCCAGGGTTGTCATTATACAGCAGAGCTTCTGTGCTAGGTCATTTTTCTTTTCTCCGATACATTTGACAAAGATCCATGGTGACAAAGCACAGAGATAGCAATTTTTAACCTAATCCCCCAAGACTGCATCATCTGGTTAATTTAATTTGACCTTCATCATCGATAAAAATTGTTGCTACTAGTCAGAATAATCTTAAGGCTTTTAAAAAAGGGATAAAGACCATTAAGTTAGACAGCAAGAAAAATACCTAAGTGAAAACTTTTTTTTTTAACTTGTCTGGAAGGTGAGAAATGAATGTCTAAATTGGATTCAGGAAATCATGAGGGGCCAAGAGAATGACAGCTAGTGGAAGGTTAGGCCAACTTCTTGTAAAGGATTATGCTACTTTATTCTTTTGAGATTTTTCATAGGGCTTCAAAAAAAAAAAAAAGGAAGCTCTGTCTGGAACTTGTCTCCCTGTGATTTAAAAACTGGGCTAGGCTAGGAGGGAGTAAGACAGATACAGGGGTTATTGGACCTTAAAAATAATGAATGCCCCGGGAAGATTCTTTTCAGCAATAGACCTGTACTCAAAGTGGTTTGCAATGCAGATATGCGGCATAAGTATCAAACCTGAGGATGTAGAATGCCCTGAAGGCATCTAGGACCCCTGCTAGATTTGCTTAGAATTTAGATTGTTGGGGGTGGGGCTTTGATTGATTATGGGCTGAGTGATTGTACATGCAGTGGCATCATTATATCAAATATATCAATGGCAAAATGGAGTTTATAAAGGCTTTATGGACAAATGCAAGAATCTGGTAGGTGGCATAGTTGCAATTCTCCGCCCTCCTCCCTAGCCCTGCAATTTGATGTCTCACATGTCCGTATTCTTAACTGCACCCCTCTTTTGAGGTCCCATACTTCATGATATCGCCGCTGTCCATTGCCACACCTTACACCAGGTGCATCTGCATTCTTTGGAAGCTAGAGGCCTAGCAGTGTGCAGAACTTGATCGCATGGCTCTGAAAGGTCACATGGAGAGGCGAGGGATCCTGGGGCATGCGACAGGAAAGTGGGCTCACAGTCCTGAAGACAAACCCATGCAACCAGACCACAGACATGCCACCATGGATTCAAATGCAGCATTTTTATTGTAAAAGTCCACAGAGTAGGCAGTTCCCTTTGTGGAAAAGTGTTGAAGTACAGACAGGGAGCAGCTGAGTTGAGAATTAAGTTATATATGTGTATATATATACATATATATACATATAATATATATATATTCCTTTGCCAATAGGTCACACACATTGGAAAGCTAGCTGTTTTTGATTGTCTCCTTACAGGATACATTTTAAGTTGACAAAAATAACACGTTTCTCACCGTTGGAAATTTGCCAGCAACTCTCCCCAAAAGTCAACATTTAATGTGTTAACAATTTGAAACAAGAAAATAATTAAGTCTATTTACATGTGCTTGAGGTTATATACTAAAGCACTCCAGACCTATATTAAGGGTTTGTAAAGTCAGCAGCTAAATGTGTTTCAAGATTCATCCAGATGATTTGATGACGACCTTAAAATGATTTCTAACAAAGCCACTCTCTCTTCGCTAATACTCTTTTGTAAAATGATCTAGAAAGCTGTACTAGCTATGACTAAATTCTAATTTTGAGCAGTGAATGGCCCCCCAAAAGAGGAGGACTGGATTTGAGTGCCATTTCTGAAGCGTGCCTAAGGGTGGACCTCAGCCTGCCTGGCTGAAGCTTGGGACAGCCTCTTCTGTGACGCTCGTCGAGCTGAGCGAGGCCATCTAAGTCATGCATTGGTTCTTTCCAACATTTTCTGTGGGTTGTTTGGTCACCACAGAGCATATAGAATAGTCCACTCTGAACATCAGGTATGAATCTGACTTACGCCTCTCATAGTTCCTCAATTAGAACTGTCGATGGATCAGGGCCAACTCAGCCCTACCGCCAGAAATAAAAATACACAAACTCTAATAACACCCTTTAAGTCACATTTCTGTATACAAACATAGGACAGTTATATTGAAGGGAGTATGGGGCTTTGGCTAAAGAAAAAATTTTGATGATTACCAAACTGCCAAAGTTCTTTGGATTCTTTTACTTCTATAAGATCAAACAGAACTTGACAGAGCTTATAAGGAAAGATGAATCTCTAGTTCTGAACCAGCACAGAGATTCAACGGAGAGTGTGAGTCCAACTCACCCCAGACCATTTTTATTCAGCACTAGCTGCGTGCTGGTGCCCTCAGAGGACCTATCGATGGTTCTGCCCACAAGGCACTCGCATGCACTGAGAGCAGATCTGGATGGAGATGGAGAATAAAGTTCTGTTACGATCTATCATCCTAAAAGGAAGAAGGGACAGCAGCAAGCACATACAGTTACTTTATACTCTATGGCTCTGGGCATCTTTAAAGGGAGCCGATGTCAATTTGGTCAAGTCTATATTTTACTTGAAGTCTTTTAATATGCCATACGTAAGAGGGGGGGAATGCTCTTTGCATCTTCATGCAAGAGAGAGAAGGTGGAGAAAACTTTTCACTCTGATTCCAAACCCAAACCCATGGAAATTACATTTGTGATTCTTTTGTAGCCCAAAGACACAGAATAGGACACAATACTTTATGATGTTAACTTCAGTCATTTATTTCGGCTCTAAAGAGGTGCATGCATTAAACTTGAAGCATTCTACGTTGCTGAAATATTTACACCATTGTACATGTGATGGAGAGGAAGTACTCTTCCTCTCTGGGGACAGAGGTGTAGAAGTTCCTAGGCTATTTAAAGTGAGTCATGATTCTTCTCGGATGAGGGAGAGGGCCTATTGGGATCCAATTTACCGTGACTTGACTCCACACAAACAGTGGGTCAAGCTGGGGACCTTTTGCGTGTAACTGTATTTAGAACTGAGGAAGGACACCACCACTATAAATAGTCACAGCTTTCACCCTTTTCCATTAGCTGCAGTGGGAAAAGAATACTGTTGGGTTTCAATGTTCTCGCTCTTAATTCCAGCTCACCTTGCAGGTTTGAAACACAGCAAACATGGAAATTCAACTTATGCTTACCACAGGAGAGTTGGGCGCAAACAGTATATGACATCAGTATGATTCACCGTTTAGAACAGAGAAACAAATTCAGATGATAAATCACAGAATTGTTTAAGTGGACTCATAAAAGGACACCACTCTCCACCAAGACTGAGTGAGACCGCAATCACTGAGACCTGCACCTTCTCACAGGTAAAGGTAGGAGACCCAGTAAACCAGGTTAAACAAGCAGAAGGCCGTGGGAAAGAAGATCCGTGCATAAGAGTCCATTTTGGCAATGCGGATGTGTATCCTGCCGTGTCTCCAGGCTCCTGTCCGGCAGTCTTCAAAGCAGCAAAAAAAACTGGCACAGTCCTTGCCGTCCAGACACTCATACCCATATTCTTCATCTCTCTCTTGAAGGTGAGTGGCATTGTTCATTTGGATGGTTGCTGATCTCGGGCGGATATCAATGGTAGGCGCCTAAGACAAGGAAGGGGCAGGGGGAGAGGAAAACGGAATCAGTCGTATGTGTTCAATTCTGTGCGCTTTCTCTACAATGGCACCAATGGGCATGATGAATCTGAAAAATGGGTACTCGGGAAGTCGCTATGACATCATGATCTACAATGGTGAAATTGAACTCAGAAGGATAGCACATTTGCAGGTGTCAAATTTTGAGCTTAAGCAGTGCAGCTGAAAATAAGACCACCAAGCTAATAGCTGGAGCAGGAAGATTGAACACCAAAAAAAGAACTCAAAAGTTTAAAGATTTAAATCAAACAGCTACATGGAATTTTATTCTAGTAAATATTAGGTATGAGGTTGGTTACATGAAGGCTTTTAATGATGCTACATGTGAGTGGATCAGAGAAACAAAAATGCATTAATTGAGAAATAAAATTTTGTATCATGCTTACCTATAGGCAAATAGTAAGCCCTGTGGTTCTCAGTAAGCACTGAGCAAATGTGCTAGATGCTATTAATAGAAATTGTTAGGAAATACATATATGGACATTCCCTTAGCTGATAGCAGAATGGTATGCCTGATGTTTTAAAGGCGTGTAAGGCTTTATCTAAAATTTACCAGCTAGAAGTGTCAGTAACTCTCTGCATTGTTTATCTACATGTGGCAAAAATTCAGGAAGGGATATCACTATCCACCAAACTCTTTTTTAGTCATTGAGAAGAAACTAGTTCCAATGAATTGAATACTAATCTCATCTTTGCTTTGGGATAATCATAAACTTGTTGATTTAGATGATTTCATTTTAGAATAACATCAGTGCAAATTCTAGTGTCAGTGAACCAGCTATCAGAATTAAATTGCAAATAGAAATTTTATTGCAGGGTTACAGAATGATGTCAAAAGGTCCTATATCACCCTGCAAGTCAAAAGAGATTATTTACTTTTCAAAAGACCCAATTTTGAGTGAGAATTTACAGATACATTTTTGTTTGAAAAGGGCACACGTAGGTGCAGCCAGTAAAATTGGATTTTGTTTCCTCTGTGAAGAGGTAAGTTTTGGTTTGGATGTTTTAATAGGCCTCTTTACTAGTGTTCATGATATGCAGGGCTTTTTAGCTTTATGTAAGGCTGTACTCTCTGTAGATTACCGGAGGCTAGCTGAAGTGACTCTCTGAATCTATAGAACTTTATCTTAAGTGTGATATCTCTAGGAGAATGCTTAAATGTCTACTTATGAAAACAAAAACAAAAAAGCACCATGTAAGCATTAATAGTTAATCTCAGCAGATGCATGCAGTGAATTTCCATTCCAAACACATTATACCTTGAAGGAAAACATCCGAAGAAGCTTTGGATTTGTAGACAGAAAAGAGAATTGTGGTTTTTTTTTTTTTAATTAAAAGAAGGTGGGGGAAAGAAAAAAAGGAGACAAAAATAAGATAAATTAAAAATACATTTTGAAAACATAGTAAGTTGAAATGAACTGAAATTATAAACACAGAAAGACAGTCCTGAGCTTGGAATCAAATAGACGCCTAAAGTTGACCACTGGAACCTTTTGACTGCCAATGATCTCTTCCATATATGAGTCCGAAATTAACCAATGGCAAAAGTCACTGTTGCTTACTAGTCTGGAAGTTTCCCATCGCTGGTTTTCCTGCATAGGAATATTATGGCGATGATTTCATTTTCTAATTATTGCAAGGGGTCCTTGACAGCATGACAAAAGGGCACATCGAGTGGAAAATAATATCTCATCCACCCTACGTTACAGGCTGAGTCTGATAAATCAGTGAACTGGATCTCTTAAGAGGGCAAAATGCATGCAATTCTCATATTTTTTTTTTCTCTTCTGCCTTCTCCTGCCATCTTTCCGCCCCTGGATTAAGGAAGCTGAGTGTTTGTATTCCTGCTAGTTCCACGGTGACCCAGCATATTAGAGGGAAGCCAGTCACCACAGCCCTCCTACCACTGGCAGGTAATGGGGCTAGTGTCACAGAACCATCTTCCCAGGGGGCAAACGAAATGGAAAGTAAAGGAGGGGGGGTAATCAACAAGACAACAGGAAAATAAAAACGAGGAGAGAGAAAGTAGAAAGGCAGAGACAGGAAAACTGCATCAGGAAAGAACTAGATAAGGCAAGTGACTCCAGGCAAACGGAAGAGAAGCTCTCCATCATCAAGAATCAGAATAATGCTTCTTTCTCTACCTGTTAAAAATTCCTACATGCACGCAAACCTGCCATTCATAGAATTTCACTGGGGGTGAGGGGTCGAGTGGTTTCCAGGACATAGCTCAGGATTGGTCACATTCTCCATTATAACTCAACCCTCTCAAGTTCAGGGGTCAGAACCAGCCACCAGCAGGGCCCATTATGCAGAAGACATGGGAAAGCAGAAGATGCAGGAGTATAGGGTGAATTCCTCTGCTCCTATCTTGGAAGAGAACAGGATAACTCTCCCGGGGCTTGGAGGATAAGGGGGTGCTGCATGCTCTCTTTTTTTTTCAGCATCCGTAATGAAAGACAACTGCTTGTTGTGGTATCTGCATTTTTTGCTATTTGGGTCCCAACTGTGCTGAGGGCACCACAGGGGATGTGAGGGATGGAACCTGCATCAGCCATGTTCAAGACCAACACCCAACCCGCTGTACTGTTGCTCTAGTCCCATGCATTTGTGCTTCATTTTCTTTAGGTAAAATTGGATACCAACCTACCTGTTTCCAAATCACTGAAACTGGTCCAGGCTGGTAACTATATATCAGCCATCATCCGCAAAAGCATTAATAGTCGGTAACACTTTCATGTGTCAGGTACTTTGTCATATTTTCTACCTGTACTATCACACTCATTTCTCAGAGCAACTCCTTACAGCTATAATCTTTTTATATGCCAAAATGAAAATATGAGGAAGGCAAGTCATTTGAGCCATTTCCTTGAGTATGAAACCAACAGGCATTAGACACATATGTTAAAGTATTTCCAGCAGTATGGGGTAAGTGTTAAAATACTAAAGAATTAAGTATCTTTTAAAAAAATACTTAAAGGGGGCAGAAAACTTGAAAACAGCAATAGATAAATATCCCAGGAAGGAAAGAGGCAGCTCTTTCTCTCAACTACCCCATTGGTCTTTATTCCATAGACCAAACTCACACTTTTTTTTTTTCATCTCTGAGCTCAGCTTAGGCCACAGATAGCAAGACCCACATCAGCTCCAAACCAATCGGCATTTCTGCAGCAAAATATCCTGGGTTACTTGTTTCTTTTTGGGGGGGAGGGGCAGAGGGGGAAAGAGCCCCAATGGGAAGTGATACATACAGGGTTTTTCTTCTTTTTGTCTTTGTCCTTGCTGGGTTTCCGGTTGCTGACAAAATAATGCAGGGTGCCATACTCCACCAGGGCCGAGAAGACAAAGATGAAGCAGACAGACACAAAGAGATCCATCGCGGTGACGTAGGACACCTTGGGGAGTGACTTCCGGGCGATGGTGCTGAGGGTGGTCATTGTCAGGACTGTGGTGATTCCTGGAGAGAAGCAGAAGGAGACACACCCATGTGATGAGGCGCTGACTCTCGGCGGAGACCAGGGACTTTTGGGCTGCTGAGAAATGAGGTGCAGCCATGACACAGATGCTGGCTGCCTCTCTCCCAGGGTCATGCCCCTGCGAGAAGTACTGATGACTGGAGAGAGACAGGACAGACCTGGCCCCTTCCCTGAGGTACCATGGCTTTTCCATTAACAGCAATAGTGCAACTCAGAGATAAGTCTGATGATGGCCTTGAAGCCAAGCTTCCTGCCATGAAGATGGGAAAGGGATGAGGCATTATTTAGATGGAAGGTGGTCTGCAGACCCCTTTGAGGTGATTGATGTGAGATGTAGCTAAAAAAAAGTAGGAGAAAGCAGCTTGGCTACTTTTTTTTTGGTCTATGAGCAGAGCAAGAGAATTAGAGAGGATTCTGGGAAGCTAAACCTTGCCTGTTTTTAAAATTTTTTTCTAGGGAAGTCAGGGGAATTCAGAATATCTGGAACACCTAGGAATTCTGTTATGCAGAGCCCGATTCTGAAGGGCCTGTCTTGATTTCAAGGCAGTAGAGGTGGATCGTGAGCTTTGAAACCTATTTATTACAGGCTAAAAATTGGTATCACAGAAGTAATATTTACTAAAAAAGTTCTTGTGTCAGACATTCTGATAAGTGCTTTATATGCATTCTCTTGTTGAGTCTTTATAGCAGATATTTTCATTTTGATTTGATACCCGAGAAGAAAAATTAGGATAGAGGAATAGCTCGATGTCCAACAGCTAGAGAAGGGGGGGGGGGGGGAAGGATTTGAACATAGAAATTAAATATCTGGTTCCAAAATGCACCTTATAGCCATTCAATACTAAACCATATTCAAGCAGTGTTCAGTCTTTCCCTCAATTTTGGGAACCATGCAAAGACAACCTCTGTGTATCAACGGGGGAAACGGGGGACACTATTCTGTAAACGTTGTTGTTTCTAACAAAACAACATAACAAAGAGTCAGGTCTTGAACAGACTCTAGCAGTAGAAGCTGTAAGATGCCAGGTTTCAGTTTGCCCCTCTGCTACAGCAACTGTGGAAATCTACCCATTGCTTATCATTGTAAGTCAGCATTTCCTACTGCAACTAGAACTCAGACAGAGCAAGAGCCTTGGGGACTAAGGGAAAGAATACTAAGAAGTTTCTTTGCCTCCTCCTGAGAAAACAGAGACACCTTGGGGCTAGGTGCCCTCCAACACCAACCCTTGCATCGATCTCACAAACCCTGGCATGAGAAGCGAACACTCAACTAGCCAGGCTAAGAGCAACTTCCCTGACTGTCCCTGCTCCTTACTGAGCCGGACCCTGAGGGAGCTCATTATGGAGCTCATTAAAAGTACTTAACCCCACTTAAGTCCTTCATTCATTCCTCATTTGGAAAAATCGCCCACCTCTTCTCCCTGGAGACCTTCCCTGATTCCCTACTCACTGGCCTCCCTGTCAACAACCCCAGGAGGCCTCGGCGACTGCTGCCTTCCATGACTTCAGGATCTCTTCTGATCTTCACAGGCAACTCTCTGAGCTGTCCTGCAAGTCTGCTTGGTGAAGGCTGGACAGTCAGGGCAAGGTCCCTTGTCTGCCCGCAGATAGCGTGCTGATGTCCATGTCAGCTGTGTCGTGGGACTAGTCTGCACTGCTACAGTCTGAATGTGGCAGAGACACAGGCGCGTGAGTATTGCCCATGTGCAAACAGTATTTATGAGCACAAATGGGATGAGTTGAAAGAACTGTACGGGGAAGAGCAGCCTGCGGCCAAGAAGGATGAACAGACGAACTGTCAGGGTCAAGGTTGCTATAGTTAACTTTTTCTCCAACCATCCTTAGTGACTTGGGAACAACCCACCTCCCTTTCTCATTCCTCTCCCACACTCTCCTCTGTCACAACACGACCACCTTGGTGGCCATGGAATCCTGTGCTCTAGTGCAGGGGCTTAAACCAGTGAAAGGAATTAATTGATGGGTTCCACAGAGAGAAGTAGTAGGACATGTCCCTTAGTTGCACATACCAACAGCTGATAGTTCCCAATCTCTTCTTTGGACAGGTACCATGCCCCGTCCCTTGGCGATTGTCTGACAAAGTTCTCCAGAGGAGGTAAGTGACCCACCGCTATTTCAGTCTTGTGGGTCAAAAACAACAAAATTAAAGCTGAGAATAGCAAAAGGTTTTTGAAACCAGACTTGCTAGGTTTATATTTCTGAAATCTATAAATCCACTATATTTCACTGTCCTCCCGTTGTTCATCGATTTGCTCGAGCGGGCCCAGTAACATCTCCATTGGAGACTTTGTTGTTACTGTGTTTGGCATATCGAATACATCACGGGTAGCTTGCCAGGCTCTGCCATGCAGGCACTATATTTATAATGGGGCTGGAGCAATAGCACAGTGGTAAGGCATTTGCCTTGCACGCAGCCAACATGGCCGACCCGAGTTCGATTCCTCCGCCCCTCTCGGAGAGCCCAGCAAGCTACTGAGAGTATCTCGCCCACACGGCAGAGCCTGGCAAGCTCCTCGTGATGTATTCGATATGCCAAACACAGTAACAACAAAGTCTCCAATGGAGATGTTCCTGGACCCACTCGAGCAAATCGACGAACAACGGGAGGGCCTTATAGCATATTATGATAGAATAATAGAATACATCATAAAATATGGATCATATTAATAAATTGTTATATATTTATTATATTTATTATGTATTCTATAATTATACATATATTTTATAACATATTCTATAATATATTCTGTGTATTGCATTCCATCTCTGTATAATCTGAATACCTATTAAAATCAGTAAGAGAGGGGCTGGAGAGATAATACAATGTGTAGGGTGCTTGCCTTGTAGGAAGGAGGTGGCCCGTATTTCATGCCTGTCATTGCAAATAATCCTCAGCAGTAAATCTGAGCTTTGCTAGGTATGACCCACCAAAAAAAATAGTGATAGAGATGAGATGTAGATCTAGCAAGTCTGATATCAAATACATTCCTCTAAAGTACATTTTTATAGGCACATGCTATGCGTTTGAGGTACCACTGGCTTGGGGCTATTTTAATTTAGGTTGTGATGAGGGGAGTGGCCTCTGGGTTTCAAATTGTGACAGGACTCAGGAATAACCCAGATTCTCGCCTACAAATGGGGTGTAGCTCATGAGGGACTTTGTGGTGATAAAGTGCCACTTCCCAGTGTGTATAGTGTATTATATACAATTATATAAATACAAGGTATTTCCATTTGTTTCAGATAATAGTTTTCAAACTAAAAAGACTTCAGTTAGGCTTATTGCTTCATTAGTTCTTAGAGTTCTTGACTCTCCCGAAATCACAGCTGATATTTCTGTGGAGGGATAAAAAAAATGCAATTGGCAACTTGGGGTTTTGCGTTCAGGCCTCAAGTCATACCTGACCTTTGGGAAGCCAAAATGCCAGCCTTCCGAGGTCTTCTAGGAAACAGGTTGACGCTGCTTCCTGTTCTCTCTGAACAGAGCCAGAGGGAGGAGAGCAAGGAGCAGGCAAGGAGACTTTTAAATCACCAACAAGAGCACTGGGGATGACTTCCTAAGTTTTTAATTGAATCACCATGAGATGCAGTTACAAAGTCGTTCATGATTGGATTTCAGTCACTGTGTCCTAACATCCATCCCTTCACCAGTGTCCCCACTTTCCCTCCCTCCAGGTCCCCCTACCCCAGCAGCATTCCTTTACAGCAGACACAGTTCTCTCTCTATGCTCTGTCTCTGTCTCTCTCTCTCCCGTCCCTGTCTCCCTTTTGGGCATTGGGATTTGCAACATAGGAACTGTACAGTGATCATGTACATCCTTTAACAACTTTTCAGCACTCATTTCCTGTCCAGAGCGAACATTCCCAGCTGTTCTTGTCATATTGGTCTTCTCTTTTTTTTTTCTTTTTGGGTTACTCCTGGCCGTGCTCAGGGGACCATATGGGATGCTGGGAATCGAACCCGGGACGGCCGCGTGCAAGGTAAATGTCCCACCTGCTGTACTATCGCTCCAGCCCCTCTCCTCTGTCTTAATTGTCCCCTTACCCACACAGAAAATGAGTATGATTTTTTTTTCTTTTCTGGGTCACACCCAGCGATGTACAGGGGTTACTCCTGGTGGTGCTCAGGGGACCCTATAGGATGCTGGGAATCGAACCTGGGTCAGCTGCATGCAAGGCAAACGCCCTACCTGCTGTGCTATCGCTCCATCCCTGAGAAAATGGGTATGATTTTTAAGTCCCTTTCTTTAAAGCTCTTTACTGAGCAAAGAAATTAGACTTGTCTTACCTGCATAGATGAAAAATATCCATTGGATTTTAATCACTTCCTCCACCAGTCTTGATGACTTCAGGAATGTACTTAAAAGACTTGAGGGAAAAATACCAATTCGCGCTGTTCTACCTTTCGCCCTGCTGTCACTGACCCTCCCCACTACCTGCCCACCAGATCGTTCTCTCTTCCGGCTCCGAGAGAGCAGAACATCTCTGGCTGCTTTCAGAGCATGCGGGAGCAGCTCAGTGACTCTGTTTGTCTCGCTCATGAAATGAGGCTCTGTTTGGTGGCGAGAAACTTCAAGCTCATAGGAATTTAATAACTCTTAACTGGGAAATACTGGGAAAAGTGACTAGGTTTGTGTTCTAAAATGCGACTGGCAGAACTATCTGGGGGGCTTTTTAAATTCTGCCCATCTGTATGCTGTACGAATCAGGCATCCCTAAGGGTTGCATTACCAAAAAGCTGTAATTTTTAAGACACCCACTACCCCCAACTGGTGATTTAAAATGTGGACTGCCTTCTATTGCAAGTCCTGGCGGAGGAAATTATAGTCTTGCAGCTGCTCTACTTCCTTGGTTGTAGATCATGTGACTATTTTAATACTCTCCACATGGAGTAGAGAAAGGGGTCCCAGGAGGGAGCCTGGTCCACAAAGACCACCTACCTGCTGAGTGGTTCTGCCCGTTCACCTTCATCCCTAAGTCCAGCACATTCTCATGGACACGCAGTCAGCAGTAGCTAAGATGGGCTACCCGCGTGGCCATCGGCACGCCTCTGATCAGCAGGAGACATTTATTTGAAGTCCTTCCTTCCTTTTTCTAGGGTAGAGAGCTTATTGCACGCCTGCCCCACGCACTTCCAATTTCCTAAGCTAACTGCATCATTTCTGAGGTGCCAGTTAGGCGCCAGGAACAGAAGACAGTCCCATTCCGATGGAGTGAGAGTCCCATGATATGTTGCATTAACCATGACAAGCAAGAATCCTAAGTCATACGCACAACATATTTGGGTTTCCCCTTCCCCAACATGTAATGTTAGACAAGATGTTGAATAGGACAACTTGGTAAGTGCTGCACAGAACAGGAAATGTAAAAATAACTATTTCGAAACAGATGGGAATCTAAATTAAGTTTGCATGGGGACGAATCTGCGAATGGTATTTATCCCCTGATAATTTGCCCTAGCCTTCGGTCTTAATAACTTAATGCAGATCATTTCAACAGGAAATGCTAACATTTCTGAGGCAGGTGAACGCTGAGCTCATGTCCTCTTTTGCCTGAAGGACTAGTGGATGGTGCGAGCACTCTGCCAGGAATCTGGGACTCGCATTCCCAGCCTTGTCAGTGAACCTGCTGGACACAGCGAGAAGAAGGTAGCTCTGTTTTAAGGTTTGCCCGGGTCATGGCAGTAACACTTTCTTTTGATTGATTGCAAGCTACCAAAACAATAGCAGTAAAAGCAATACAGGGTAAAGAGGAACCACCAACTCCAGTGTGTAATGCTCAGAACCCAAAGGGGGAAACAAAATCTGTTAAAATCAGAGGTCTTTTGTTTGCCTAATTTGCAGAGACATTGAATAGAACTGGGAAACTTCAAACCTTTCTTTAAAAATAAAGTAAGGTTCTATTCAACGTACTTGCTTTCCATGCAGCTGAACTGGATTGGATCCCTGGCACCCCTGGGCACTGCCTTGTGTGCCTTTCCCCACCCCACCCAGCCCTCACCCCTGCAAAAGAAAATAAATGGGGCTGGAGCAATAGCACAGTGGGGAGGGTGTTTGCCTTACACATGGCCAACCTAGGTTCAATTCCCAGCTTCCCATAGGGTCCTCCGGGCACTGCCATGAGTAATTCCTGAGTGCAGAGCCAGGAGTTACCCCTGTGCATCACTGCGTGTGACCCAAAAAGCAAAAGCAAAAGAAAAAAAACCAGAAAAGACATAAAGAAATAAGGTGCATAGGGGGCCCACAGTTGCTTTGAAATCTGACCAACTGTAGGTCACTCCTGAGCACAGAATGGAAGTAGTTATCCCCTAGAGGGCAAAATACAAAATCAAAACAAGTGACTTTTTTTTTAATGTGTTAATGAACTTAAAGGCAAGATACCTTAGAAAGGAGAGTGTGTTACTGAGCACTTCCAGGACATTTCAGTACAGAACATGTGTCTCACCTAAGGAGGTCCTGGCTGGCACTGCGTCCTTATTGATCCAGAAGGACACCCAGGAGAGGACGACAATGAGTGTGCAGGGGATGTAGGTCTGGATGGTGAAGTAGCCCATCCTTCTGCTCAGGTCGAAGTAGACAGACATGACCACGTAGTCTCCTGGAACAGAACAGAGAGTGCCTTTGGGAAACGGAGGGACATTTGCTGCGCAGAGGCCAGGGTTCCACCCTCCCATCCACACAACTCACATGAGCGTTCTCTCAATGGCTGTGTGAAAACTGTCCTTTAGCCACTTGGGTCAAGAGCCAAAGCCAACTCAAGCCAAGTAAGTTTGGGGAGCAGAGTGGCCATGAGACACAGAACGCCACGGTCTTCTTTCAAAGGTGTTCCTCCAATGCCCAGCCAAGGATACACAGGATTGTGCTTCTGCCTACAGCGAACCCCACAGTTTCACAATCATTCCCTCTTGGCAAGACCTTCTCTGTCCACACGGGAAGAATTATCCTGATTGTGAGCATTAATCAGTGACTGTCTTGCTCAGTGCAGAACCTACGCTGAGATGTTTCCTCGGGTTCTCTTTAGTAGCAAGTTACTTAGGTATGTAATTTCTCATTCATCTGTGTGGTGCTTTTTGTAATATCTGTCACCCCAGGGAGACCAGGAGCAGTGCTTGTTTCAGTCCATTACATACCAGGACGCTCAGCCTGCTGCCAGACTGACCAGCTTAGAGATTTCAACCCCGACTGCTTGTGAGTGCAGAACTAAGATGATCAGGTAGGAGCACAAGGGGCGAAGGACATGTGACAGAAGGACAATGGTAGAAAGTCTTGTGTCTCTCAGAGCTGGGAGCGTTGGCCCTCCACCCTGTCAGCCCGTATCCATCCCCTTTAGGCTCCCAGGGAACAGCAGTTGCAAACTCTGGTCCTGTTTTCAGTGTGTGGGAACCCCTGAGACCACTTTTCAGATGCTGCTTTTTAGAAAAACTAAGGTCTAATCGGTTTTACTTAGTCTGACCCTGCGCCTCTATGTTTATTGATGGATAGATTTAGATCTAATAAAATATAGGAGAATAAAATATATATAGATCTCAGGCATAGAAGAGTTGGCCATTAGAAGCCCCCGTTCATGGGGCTGGAGTGATAGCACAGCGGGTAGGGCATTTGCCTTGCACGCGGCCAAATCGGGTTCGATTCCCAGCATCCCCTAGGGTCCCCCAAGCACCGCCAGGATTAATCCCTGCGCATTGCCGGGTATGATTCAAAAAGCAAAAAAAAAAAAAAAGCCCCCGTCCAGTTTTCCCTTGCTGCAGTTATGAATCCGACCCTATCACCAAGTGTGATGGAAGCCACGAGAGGAATCAGACACCACCCAGGCAAAATTCAATTCTACTGGAATAGAAGATCAGTCATTAGCAGCAATATTTAGCAATTTTCGCTGGAAACTTAAAGACTGTACTTTCTTCTAGATAACTAGAATTTAGTTACTTTTCTGAAATTGTGCTTCTCTGTGCGGATTAATCTGGACATAAGCTATTAAAATCATGACCTTTCCTAAATTAGCTTGGGCTCAGCTTTGGTTAGAATTTAGAATGTAACAGTTAACAGATTATGACTGAGAGTTAACTTGAGAGCACCGCTAGTGATGTCATTTTCTTTCCTATTTCTTTGATCAGAACACCAGAGCCACAAACAACTTTATTTATTCTAGATTAAAAAAAGAGAAGAAAAGAAAAGGAGGTACACACAATGGAATCTTACTCAGCTATAAGGAAGGATGAAATCTTGGCCCTTCGCCACAACCAGAATGGAATTGGTGGGTGTTCCATTCAGCAGAATAAGCCAGGGGGAGACCAACTGTCAGGTGATCTGCCTCATAGGTGGTATATAAAGAAAGGGAAGGGACAGTGGTCAATCAGGACAGTGGTGGAAAGGATACAGCAATTTTGTTCACCAAAAGCATCAACAGTAAGCCTACTGTAAAGCTATGTTGCTACAATAAAAATATAATTTAAGAAATTGTGTTTATTTTTAAATAATGATACCCGTTGGGGCACTTTTAAGAGTTTTCATTAACAAAAGTATTCATTTTAAACAAAAGTATTCCAAGTAGAGTAACGTTTTAAGACTCTTTATCATTGTAAGTGAGTGACACCTACCCACTGGCAGCAATACTGAATGCCTTTAGAGGTGAACTTTAATTTTGCCTCCAGTAATAAGCTAATTCAATTTTACATATCCCTTTAGGTCAGAACTAAACTTGCACCTCCCTTCTCTTTATCTGTAAGCTTCTATTTTAAGGTAACAGCGTCTGCTTTGCCAGCAAATCCAGAGCTTTTCTGCCAGTCGATGACTATTCAAACCCAGGAAAAGGCCCTTGAAAACCACAGCAGCATCCCCTGGCAGCCTGACCCCCGCCCGTCTTATCTGCAAAGCCACATCACTGTTTGTATTTTTAAAAACTCTTGGGCCGAGAAGACTGTAAAATAAAATCCCCACAAAGTGTCACATCAGTGATTCCCTGAGCCCCGGAGGTTTAAATGCCAACCAGATCAAAAATGGTTTTCTCCATCACTTCAAATTTATTCTATTGATTTTTCCCCCTAACACATGATATTTAAAGTCATAGCATTTTATTAATAATCTGACCTCTGCTTTGGTCCTAATTTGAGATGTAACAGACATACAAATTTTAGCCCTTCCTTGTGAGTTTTGTATGTCTTGTGTTAGGAAGAGAGGGACAACATCAAAGAATTCCAGTGACTAGTTTTTGGGGTTTTTTTTTTTTGCTGTGGTATTAAATACATGAATGTTTTAAAATTCAGCATTAGGGTTCTAGTTGGCCCCTAGGAATGCATGGTCCACCAAGGTCAAAAGAAAAAAACTTTAAAACATAAAGATCCTATATTAGAGAAGTCTTCCCCTGTGAATAGCAACAAAAATAAAATTATTTTCTAGATATTACTAAGAAGGATCTACTAAGTAAAAGATATTGGGCTGTATTTTCATCCTCTGAAATTAGAATCGTGCCCCACCTACAAAAAAATAAATGCAAGATGGACTGAAAGTCTAGAGAATTTAAGCATGCATATAAATGTTACATAAGGGGAAGTATAGGAGAATATCTTTTAGAATGTCATTGGAAAAAGGCTTTGTCAAGCACAACAAAGAGAAGATACAAGAAAGAATTTCATGTAATAGATGCTTCAGATGGTTTGAAAAGGTAAAATATCAAACTTGAATAAAATATGTATTTCCAAAATGAATAAGGAAGCAAACTCTGAGATAAGAATTTCCATGGATCACTGAGAAAGGAAAATCCCACATTTTTTAGGATTAGTGAAATACAAATTAAAACGGTTTCCTATTTAGCTTATCAAATTGGGGGGAATTGATTTCCATTATTAGCTATATGTGAAAAAGAATTCTAGAACTAGACATTCTTGGTGGGGAGGATTCACCCAATGTCACCTATTTGGAGAAAATCAGATTTCTGGAATAAAATCCGCAGAAAGAAATATTTCCATTAATATTAACCTTTAGGCTGGCATCAAAGTTTGCCGTGTGCCCAAAAGCGTCAGCAGAAGATGCAGGCCAGCAATCAAGACAGGATCCTAAAGTCAAAGATCTAGAGCATTACGGCAGGGAAAAGATGGATTCCCAAGCTCACCCTTGTTTTTCTGCATCAGCTCCCTTCAACCCCCACCCCTCCATTCCAAGTTGTTTCCTTTTTATGTGTGTGGCATTAACTATTCTAGAAATGCGTCAAATATTCTTCTTGCAACTAGTGCCCATGAACATATGCCTCTTCTGCAAACCACAGCACCCAAAAGGAGAGAGAGAACAAAAGGGAATGCCCTATCACAGAGGTAGGGTGGGATGGGGGTGCTGGGGGTGGGGTGGGAGGGATACTGGGATCAGTGGTGGTGGAAAATGGGCACTGGTGGAGGGATGGGTATTCGATCACTGTATAACTGAAACCCAAGCACAAAAACTTGCAAGTCTACAACTGCACCTCATGGTGTTTCACTAATAAAAATGGGGGGAAAAAAGGGAAACCATAAACAGAACTTATTTCCTTGTCAATAAATCCTTTGGCTAGCCAAGGCAGGCATCAAACATCAACATGTTACTTCATCTTACCACCCGGCATTAGAGGAAATTTCTGGCAAGCATATTTCTCAAAGTTCTGGCTAAACAATGCCAGTCTTCATAAACCTCAAAGAGACCCATGCGCCACTTTTTCAGGAAGTCCAAACCCATTCTTCTGACATGTAAGGCTCTTTATAATCTGAATTCATCGTAGATCTTTCCCCCTCATTACTCTCTTCATGTTCTCTAAGTTCTAGAAAATGCACATTAAATATGTGCACTTTGTATTTCTAGGCGTTTTCTTTCAGGGTTTATTCTAGTTCACACCAAATCTCTAATAGATTAGTGGCTCATTTCCTTATTCCTTGTTCATTTTCCTCATTTCAGCCTCTGGCCCCCTAGTCCAAGCACTGCCGTGTACATTAAATTTGCTTTGTGAGGTGACCTATGCTGAGATGGGGGGTCATCTTGATTTTAAATTAGATCACTGTAGCACTGTCCTCCCATTGTTCATCAATTTTGCTCTAGCAGGCCCAGTAACGTCTCCATTGTGAGACTTGTTGTTACTGTGTTTGGCATAACGAATACGTCACAGGTAGCTTGCCAGGCTCTGCCATGCAGGCAAGATATTCTTGGTAGCTTGCCAGGCTCTCCAAGAGGGGTGTAGGAATCGAACCTGAGTTGGCCGGGTTGGCCACGTGCAAGGCAGACACCCTACTGGTGCCCGCTCGAGCAAACCGATGAACAAATTAGATCAAATTAGAAAAAAAATTTCTTATCTGCTCAAGTCACATTTCAGGGGCTCCAGTGCGCTCCAAGCTCAGTGTCCACTGCACTGTGATAGTGTAAGTTATTGAAAAGTGACTTATTTCTGCTACTGTCTCTCCTGCATTTGCCAGTGTTTCAGCATGGGGTCCACACCACCTAGTGGTGGGCTAGTTCCTTGGGCCTCAGACACTTGCCCAACTGCATCTCACAGTCTTTCCATTGGATGCCCACCTGCTGTCCCATGTTCATTCTCTTACCTGTGTTTTCCTCCAGCACTGAGAATTTTCTGCTCCTCTGAGCATG